GTGTGAGTGTGAGTGTGAGTGAGAGTGAGAGTGTATGTGTGTGTGTGTGTGTGTGTGAGTCAGTGTGAGTCAGTGTGAATGTGAGTGTGATAGATTAGTAATAGAATATACAGTCTGTACAGTAGAAAAACCATTATGCCTATGGAGAGTCCCTGTAAGCCACAAATGCAAGTGTGTGTGTGTGTGTCAGGGCGGTGGAGTCGATCAGCAGCCGACTGAGGACGACGGTACGTCTCACTGGTCCTCCTCCAGTAAACTGACCCGATCTCCAGTCAAAATCAGCCGGAAACCCAAGAGCATGCAGTGCAAGGTGGCGCTGCTGGATGGGTGCGACTACAACTGCGTGGTGGAGGTGAGACTGCAGACAGATCCGGAGCTCCAGCTGCTTCTCCTGTGTTTTCCTCAACCCCAGCGAGCTGCTGCCACTCTGAGATTGACTCTCTGTTGCATCACATGGAGGCTTTCATTTCAGAAATGCAGGAGTTTTTTCAATTATTGCTTTGACTTTGCCTGAAAATAAATGCTATGACACTACAGGCCAAACCAGTGTGTTTTCATGCACTGCTCAGGTTTTGGTCAGTTTTGCTTCTCTTCTTTCAGACTAGTGGAGAGAAAACATCCAAAACACACATTTAAGTGTTTATTTTATTGCACTTTATCTATCTGCGTCTGTAGATTTCAATCTTTAAAGAATTTTTTCTCTTACAAACAGCACACTTTGCAGTTTTATTCCTCTCTATGTTCTGAAGGTTTGTTCATATTTCATTCACACTGATTTATACAACATTTTACTCCTGAAAACATGGTGAAAATGTGTTTGTTTTCTGTCTGTTGACAGTATTTTCTGATTCATGATAACATCCTCATTTAAAGACAACAAACAGCTCATCAGTTATTGATGTTTTCTCTCCAGTCTTTGAAGAACAAATAAACCTGAATGTTCATCTCATCTCAGATTGTTATTTAGTTTGTAGTTTATTTCTGCATGGTGGCCTTTCAAATGCGAGGTGTTGCATCATGTTTTTCGGTGTGTTTGCGATCATGTTGAGTTTGTGTCTCTTTCTGCAGAAGCGTGATAAAGGTCAGGTTCTGTTCGACAAAGTCTGCGAGCATCTCAATCTTCTGGAGAAAGATTACTTCGGTATCACAGTCCGTGATGTGGAGAATCAGAAGGTACAGCTACGTTCATATCGATTCAGTGAAGCTTTGAACACTGATTCAGTGAGTCGTGACTCATCTGAACGCTTCGTTTCAGAACTGGCTGGATCCTGCCAAAGACATGAAGAAGCAGATCAGAGGTGAAACGCTCTGGAAGTAAACATCTGTCTGATCCGCGTGTTCTCCGTTCGAGCGACTGACTGTGTTTGTGATTATTTTGCTCTTCAGGCGTCACCTGGAATTTCTCATTCAACGTGAAGTTTTACCCTCCGGAGCCGGCGCTGCTGTCTGAAGACATCACCAGGTCAGAGACTGAGAGAAATAATCTCCATCCATGGCCACATTTTATTACAGTACATTATAATGCTTTTATCATGTATTTTAAAGCAGAAAAATGTGAAAAAAAATATTAGGAAAATTTATAGCTAATATAAATGTCTTAAATATATTTACCTAAATGCATTTTGAATATATTTTAGTTTATATTTTTTAACAATACTTTTCATTAAGAGTAAAAAAATGTTTTTTTTCCCATTTTGAATCGATTTGAGTTTTTTCCATTTTTATTTTATTATATATATACATTTGTTTTTTTTAATGGTCTTAATTTTAATTTCGGTTTTAGTTTTAGTTAACTATCATAACCCTGCTGGATGCTCACAGTAAATGTTTATAAAACTGCAGGTGTGTCTTAAAATGTATTTGAAATGTGTTTTCTTGAACCTGAAGTACCTTTTGTATTATATTTTCAATTTTTTTAGTATAAACAAAATATGTTTTGGAAAATATATTTCTTAAAATAAATACCCTGTTGTTTATGTATTTACAATATCTTTGATAAGTTTAGCCAGATACACACATATACACACACACACACATATATGTATGTATATATATATATATATATATATATATTATGTTTTTTGCCATATAAATAAGAAATAGTGTAAAATAAGTCAAAGGAGGGGAAATATCAGTGATGGACAATAAAGAACATTTTTAATAATGCAAAGTGAACTAAGAAAGCACTGATGAATCTGTGTGTGTGTCAGATATTACCTGTGTTTACAGCTGCGGGATGATATCGTATCGGGTCGTTTGCCGTGTTCGTTCGCCACACACACGGTTCTGGGTTCGTATACGGTTCAGTCGGAGCTGGGCGATTATGACCCGGATGAGTACGGTTCCGATTACATCAGCGAGTTTCGTTTCGCGCCTCTTCAGACCAAAGAGATGGAGGAGAAAATCATGGACCTGCACAAGAACTACAAGTGAATCTCGTTCTGCTTCTGTGTCAAAGCAGCTTCACTGTGATAAACGTGAAAATAATCAAGTTAATGTTATAAAATGTATCAGTTATGAAACAAATTCAGTTTTAGCTGTAAAGCAGCTCTATAGAAGACAATAGAGTCATTATTCAGATCAGTGCTGATTCAGTTCAGTAACTGAATATTCCACAGAAAAACATGTTTGACTTCAAAATCTTAAAGTGATAACTTCAAATCAGCTCTCACTTAGTCTGGACTAATGTTTAGATTTAGGAGGTTTAACGATGAGAATGATTTCAGATTTTCTGAGGCCGTGTGTTTGTTTCTCAGAGGAATGACGCCGGCCGAAGCTGAGATGCATTTTCTGGAAAATGTAAAGAAACTGTCTATGTATGGAGTCGACCTTCATCATGCAAAGGTACACTTGAAACACACATACACACACATCAATCACACACACACTCACACACACGCACACACATCAATCACACACACACACGCACACACACATCAATCTCACCCACACACACACTCTCACACACACACTCTCTCACACACACGCACGCACACACACACACACACACATCAATCACACACACACACTCACACACACACGCACACACACACTCTCTCACACACACGCGCACACGCACACACACACTCTCTCACACACACGCGCACACGCACACACACACTCTCTCACACACACGCGCACACGCACACACACACTCTCTCACACACACGCGCACACGCACACACACACTCTCTCACACACACGCGCACACGCACACACACACTCTCTCACACACACGCGCACACGCACACACACACTCTCTCACACACACGCGCACACGCACACACACACTCTCTCACACACACGCACGCACACACACACACACACACACACATAAAACACACACACCCACACACACACACGCACATCAATCACACACACACACACACACACACACACGCACATCAAACACACACACACACACACTGCATGAACGTTTCATTATATGTCATAATGGAGCTCAGCTCATGGCATGATGATCATGATGAAGTCTAATCACAGAAAACACGTGTGTTTGGAGTCAAATACAGCCGTGTGCCCGTGATGAGGCTTAAAGGAACAGTTCACCCACAAATGAACGTGTTGAAAATGTGCTCATCCTCAGGCCATCCAAGATCAGGATGAGTGTGTTTCTTCATCAGGTTTGTAGAAATGTAGCATTGCATCAGTGTCTCAGCAATGGATGCTCTGCAGTGAATGGGTGCCGTCAGAATGAGAGTCCAAACAGCTGATAAAAACATCACAATAATCCACAAGTAATCCACAGCACTCCAGTCCATCAGTTAACATCTGGAGAAGACAAAAGCTGAGACAAATCCAGCATTAAGACGTTTTTAACTAAAATACATTGAGTCTATAATCATAATAACACTTCCTCCAGTGATAAAGTGTTCTGGTGTGAATCAGGAGAGAAATCTGAACAGATCAAGCAGCGTTTAAACAGCTCTAAACAAATATGTGGCTGGATTTTGATGTGAGAGACAACAGGAGATGCACTTTTTCACCGGAGGAAGCGTTATTATGGATTATGGATTTGTATTTTAGTTAAAAAGTTCTTAATGCTGGATGTGTTTCAGCTTTTGTCTTCTCCAGATGTTAACTGCTGGACTGGAGTGCTGTGGATTATTGTGATGTTTTTATCAGCTGTTTGGACTCTCATTCTGACGGCACCCATTCACTGCAGAGCATCCATTGCTGAGACACTGATGCAATGCTACATTTCTACAAATCTGATGAAGAAACAAACTCATCCTGGATGTCCTGACCGTGAGCACATTTTCAGCACATGTTCATATGTGGGTGAACTATTTCTTTAATATATCTGACATAAGTCTATTTATTCTTTAAGTAATGTTTTGCATGTAAATGTGTGTCTGTATTCTCACACACACACAGACCGACGGCCTTTCAAACCCTCTCACTGACGAGTGACTCGTTAATAATCAGTGTTCAGTGTTAATCGTTGTCATTGTTTCTGGTGTCAGTCGATCGTCAGATGTTCAGCTCAGTCAGAATGAATCTGATTCTGCTTCGGGCCGGTCGTTCTGGGTCACAATCGACCGTCACAAACCAGATAGAGACAAACACACACATGACAGAGAGTTTGGGTGGGTTTTTATAGCAAAGATGTAACCAAATAGTCAAGATAGTTAGCGATGAAGTCTAAAAATGTAAGAATTCAAGAATCATTTCTGAATATTGGCAGAACGTGTCGCGTCAGTCTCTCTGCTGGTCGATTTCTTTGAAACCTTCAGTAGTTTAAAATCAACATATTTCGGTAAAACTTTAATTTTTGTACTTTTTAATGCATTAACTAATATTAATGTGTAGTAGATTTGTTACAGTATTTATTAATCTTTGTTATTTAATAACAAAATGCAACTGTTCATTGTTAGTTTATGTTAGCTGAGGCTGGTTTAATTGGATTCGGTGAATGTGGCCGCAGTCGTGAAGCTCTTCTGCCGATATTCACACACAGATGATGTTTCATGTCATCTATCATCTCATGTAGTGGTTAAACAGAATAACAGCAGACACACAGCTGAAGCATGAACGTGTGCGTGACGTTCGGTTAGATCAGCCGCTCTTCTCTTCTTCCCCTCTTACTGATGATCTAGTTGATAGGACGATTCTTTCACTGCTTTTCTCCAGCTAAAGGAGAGGTAAGATGCATTCGTGTATATGTGTGTGTGTGTGTGTGTGTTCTCTATGTGTGTGTCTTTGTGCATGACCATGAACTGAAGTCATTGTCTAAGCAAAGACTGTTTGTTGAGAGAACCTCCTCAGTAGAAGCTCACAGGAGAGTCGAACCTGTTCACCATGAGCGCCTGTGAATCCAGCCCTGCCCATAGAAGAGAAAAATCACACATGAGAGCTCTTTAAATGGATAGCTCACCCAAAACTGAACGTTCTGTCATCATTTAAGCACCCTCATGACATTTCTTTCTGCAGTGGAACAAAAAATAAAGATATTTCGAAGAACGTCGGGAACCAAACAACTTTGGACCCCATTGACTTTCACTGTATGGACAAAAAAAGAATATATTCTGAGAAATGGGATACGAAGTTGTTTGGTTTCCAGCGTTCTTCAAAATATTATCTTTTGTGTTCCACAGAAGAAAGAAAGCCAAACAGGTTTGGAACATCAGGATAAATAAATCATGACAGAATGATTATTTTTGGCTGTACTGTTGCTTTACAATCTCAGTTATTTCTCAGAGACACTAATAAGATAAATTTGTTTTCTCCTGAGAAAAAGAGCCCAGTATTTTCACACTTCAGAAGAGATCTTAATACTGTCTCAACATGAGCTCAGATTTGCCAAGATAGCAATCAAAAGTCGGAGATCTCATTATTAACTTCTCATCAAATCATCTGAGCTGCTTCACATACATTTAATAGTAGAACATCTCCTGAACCTTTGAGAATTTGTGTCTCATTTTAGGAGACCAAGTTGAGACTTGAATGAGAGTCGTACAGTTTTCCTCTGAGTGAGTTTTGAAAGCTTCATCGTTGTTCATGACCCAGTTTCCCACTAAATACCCACTAGAGATGTGAATTGTGCCATTTTTCCCACAATCCCCCTTGATTCTTGTGTGATGTGATGTATTCAAATGTATTCTTTGTAGAAAATGAGTTCTCACGTCTGTTCAGCTGATGCTCTTCAGAAGTATTTCAGATCTGGCGCCGGTTCATTGGGTTTCAGTAGCATTACACATGTGAGATTGTGAATGCAGTGATGAATAGTGATAATGACACAAAGTACACAAACACATGACAACATCACAGTATCTCTCTGTTCCTCTCAAGCCAAAAGGCTTCCACTCATTCATTTAGAAACCACACGTTTGTTTGTGCATGACTGTGTGATGATGATTGGCACCTCTCTAATCCAATGGTTGGTCAGGATTCAGAGGGGGTGGAGATCATGTTGGGCGTGTGTTCCTCCGGGCTCCTCATCTACCGCGACAGACTTCGCATCAACCGCTTCGCCTGGCCCAAAGTCCTCAAGATCTCCTACAAACGCAATAACTTCTACGTCAAGATCCGTCCAGGCGAGGTGAGAACACCATCACGCCTTCTCCAGGTGACCTTCACAGTTTTGGTGAAGTTTGCTGACAAGAGAACGTTTGTTTGTCTCTAGTTTGAGCAGTTTGAAAGCACGATAGGCTTTAAACTACCCAACCACAGAGCGGCCAAGAGGCTGTGGAAGGTTTGTGTGGAGCATCACACGTTCTTCAGGTCTGTAGAGGTTCTTCTGTATGTTTGCTGTGTTCTGTGCTCAGTGGTAATCATGGTTTGCATCTCGACAGGTTGGTTTCTCCAGAGACTCCGCCTAAGAAGTTCCTCACACTGGGTTCTAAGTTCCGCTACAGCGGCAGAACTCAGGCTCAGACCAGACGGGCCAGTTCCCAGATTGTCCGTCCGGCGCCGTACTTCGAGCGTTCGACCAGCAAGCGCTACACGATGTCACGGAGTCTGGATGGAGGTTTGTTTGCTTTTGTTTTGATCTTATTTAGTTATAGGATGATCTAAGCAGGGATTATCTGTCTATCTATCTATCTATCTGTCTGTCTGTCTGTCTGTCTGTCTGTCTGTCTGTCTGTCTGTCTGTCTGTCTGTCTGTCTGTCTGTCTGTCTGTCTGTCTGTCTGTCTGTCTGTCTGTCTGTCTGTCTGTCTGTCTGTCTGTCTGTCTGTCTGTCTGTCTGTCTGTCTGTCTGTCTGTCTGTCTGTCTGTCTGTCTGTCTGTCTGTCTGTCTGTCTGTCTGTCTGTCTGTCTGTCTGTCTGTCTGTCTGTCTGTCTGACTGTCTGTCTGTATGTCAGTCAGCTGTCTGTCTGTCTGTCTGTCTGTCTGTCT